TAATCTTTTACATTACTATTGCTTCCCGTACTTGATTAGGATTTAATGGCCATTAGATAATTAATAAAACTTTAGATGATTCCTTATCGAGTACTACTTGGAGGGTCTGTGCCAGAAATTCCAAAATACTTACTTTGAACGTACTAATAGTATCCTAAAACTATATGTTTGTTATTAAGCTTTTACCGTGATTATTTTTGACGACTTATTGTTAATAAGCTCTATATAGAAAGTTGACATTGGTTTTGAATTTGATGACTGGCATAATGAACGCAAATTTATGTCAAGAAATGCACGGACCCGCCGAGTAGTACTCGATAAGGAATCTACTAAAGTTTTACTAATTATTAAATGACCATTAAATTATAATAAACTACTTACATCCGGGGACTCCTGGTGAACCGTTTAAGATTCCTATGGGACGAAGGAGCCTATCGCGGGACAGCTTATTATCGTTGTTCCCGTTTTGTACGAATTGTCGCGAAGACAAAGTTTGGATTTTGGCGCGTGATGGAATATTAGGATTTCTGATTGGAGCCAAAGGACCAATAAGAAGTAGTTGCATTATAAAGAAGAATGCAGTCGTCTCCTTTGGTATCGACTACGATCACGATGAGTAGTAATTCTTCTGGACTAGACTGTTAAAGACACGAGACGTATTTTTGAGCCTTGTTGGTTTTGGAGGTTTAACAATCTAAGGAAAATCCGGAAGTACTCCGCGGCCGCGTTGAAGGGCCAATTTTCCTCAACGAAGAAACTTAGAGATTTCGGTAAGCAATTATGGCTTTGTGAGCGAAGAAATCTCGTAATACTTCACGTTTTGTACGTTTTGATCAATGTGCACGTGGTACAAGTTTTCCACCATTAGAATCGCGTTCGTCCTGAGTACGAGATTGCAACGACCGGGAAGGGATTTGTTCGCGTGAATGTATTGTTCATTATGAAACATATTTATTGGCGATTGTGTAAATTGATCTATTGATGAGAATTGGTTAGAATAATTGTGTTCTCAGTAGTGGTTAATTGTTTGATCTCCAAAGTTCATCGTATCGCATTCGGGTTAGGAACTTGTTGCCGAGAAACACGAAATGATTCTTGAGATCGTGTTTAATATGTTGCGATTAGATGGCGTTATATTTTACGATCGTTTCATGTATTGGGATGTTTTGAAAATTGTATAGAATTATATGAAATTATTTATTGAATTGTGAGATGTTTAGAAATGTATCTGAATTCTATAGAATTATTTATTGAATTGTACGACTTAGATTGCACAGAATAGATTGCGAAATTGGTTTGTAGTTATTTATTATGACATTGCTTCGAAATAACTTATTTGTTTCATTCGCGATCTTATGGGTCGGAGGTTGATTTCTGAAATTGGTTGAATCTGAAATTCTGTAAACGCGTCACAAGAGTCACGTACGTAATAAAGACCGATTTTGTTATTGTTGACCCAAAATAAGAAGTGTTACTTTTGTTTGAAACTAATTTTAGCTCAAAGATCCTCTCTGCCTCTGTAAGCTGGGTTAGTCAGTGGAAGGCGATTTTATCTTTGACTGAATTTGTTCGAAACTTATGCGGAAGTTTGATTCTTCCGCGGTTTTCTCCCAAGAACCTGGCGCCCAATTTTAGATACGAATTGTGGAACTTTTATCAGCCCTTGGTCAGCCGCGATTCCCGTCCGACGGTTGACCGTGTTTGCCGTCACATTATATGTGTAAATTAAAGTCCTTCCTGACTATATAAAGATGATTTATTAAAGCATAAATGAGCACTCCACGAAGATCTTCAACAGGAGATATTGCATATTTATGAAATTCCTATCTAAGAGCCTTTACTTGCGGCCTGTATAGGCAGATTTCAGCAGAACACTAGCAAAAGTTGGACTAGTATTATCTGACAAATGGATCCCAAAAGTAGGTACAGTGACATCAAAATAGTCGAAATTGCAATCTACCTTGCAAATGCGAAATACAATGATGTCTACAAAAGTGTCTTGGCATTCCTGGGAGGATTGAGCATCGAAAGCGGCCAACAAGCAGTGGAAGCGTGCACGGCTAAAGACGACCGCCGCGTACATGACGCCGAAAAAAGTTTAGAAAATCGAATGAAACAAAACCGAATTTCAGAAAAATGAAGGAACAGCTAAGGGCCCAGAAAAATGCTGCTATAGTGCAGGTGATTTCTAACTCTTGTAGGTACTAATAATCGAAATCCGAAATCTTTGTAAACTTTACTTTTTTTGATAATTTCTCGACAACAAAGAATTCAATCGATTCTTTTTTAAAACATTAATTAAAAGTGCTATTTTTTGGCGCATGAAAACTATGAATCCTAGGAATATCTTTCAAGAAGCAAATCTAGATTGGCCCAGAGGAACTTAAGATATTAATGCGAACCACAACATTTTTTTTCGACAACGCACAAAGCTCACACTTTCGAGTTATATTGAGTTTATGTGTATGTTTTTGACTCCCAATAACATAAATAAACATTATATAAAATGACACTTCTGTATTTGTGTTAATTCATTTCCTTACAAAAAAACTATTGAACTTACAGTAGTTACTATTAAGATTCAATAATAACCATTAGGGACGTTATCCTTCGGAATAGTTACTATCGAAGTTCAATAGTAGTTAGTAATGGTTTGCCACAGTAACTATTTGCGACATTTAAGTATTTATTATGCGACGCAGTTACTATTAAATTTTAATAATGATTACTGTTTAAAAGCAAATAAAGTATTTGGGTGTAGTTATCATTTAACTCAAATTATTTTAGACCTTTGAAATACTCATTTCTTTAATCTTTTGACTTACTGGCAGACTAGTAACTACTAGTAACTCTAGTTTGAGTCGATGAAAACCTACAGACAGAATTTGGATGTTCAATATTAACTTTAACGAAAGCTTTTAATATTGAAAAGGACTCGTAGATTCTACAAAAATATTAACCCCTATTTTGGAACATATCGTTCTATGATCCTAAAAGTAGTCAGTTTTCAATGTCTATACAAGTTTGTCAAGTACGTGGAAAAACTTTTTTATGTCTAATTTCATTATATACAGAAGAAATAAGTATTGTCTATTATATAGGAAGATGCAGCAGAGAGGGACCAGTGAACATAAGATGATCATCGAAGTTCAGCAGTAAAGGCCTTCACACACAATACGACGTAACGACTTAAGACGTAACCGTAAGCCGTAATCAATAAGCACCATCGCACACGACACGCGTAAGGAGTAAGCTACGGCCAATCACACTCAAGAAAGAATTGCACATTTTTATCAAAGTGTCGTCATTGTACATAAGTACTATAATTTTCTTTTTTTAGCTATTTTCTGTTGTAAAAAGTAAGTACACAATAACAATTATTTACTTATAATTAAGGATTTTATATTTTATAAATTGTAACTATATTGAGATGAATGATATGCAGATTAAATTATACTTTTACAAGGAAAATCGTTTCATTACTTAGTTCCTAACCTTAAAATTGCACGTATCGCTTTTGTTTTATAATTAGTATTTATTCAATATCAAAGCACATCAAAGCCACTCGTCTCACGTATAAACAATGTTCTTTTAAGCGAGAACGCGAGAAGGTTTGTGATTGGTTGTCCGTAAGAAGTAAGCCGTAACGATTTCATCCTTACGATATTTTTCGCCATTATGACTTACGTCTTACGGAGAAAAGTGGAGAGGACAGTACTAGATTCTGATTGGTTGGTTTCTTCACGCTTACGTCTTAAGTCATTACGTCGTTTTGTGTTTGAAGGCCTTTAGGGATATGTGCAGTACTTGGATGACTGATCGCCTCAAGTTTACAGTAATTAGTATACGAGTCACGAAAAATGTATTTTTTTCGATTGTTTTTTAATTATACCAGTTTACGGCGCATGTTTCACGTATTAGGCATGTTAAATAATTTTTTCGGTAATTTTTAGCAGGTAATAAATTATAAAAATGGTTACGGTACTTTCCCAATAGTGTATTTTAAAAAAATAGTTATTCCCGATTAGTCTGCCGATTTAGTATTGGCGAATATTTAATATTTTTAAACAGTTATTTGTCTAATAATTTTATATTTTTGTCCCGCAAAGAATATGCTGTATACTTCAATAATAATTACTATTCAATTTCAGTAGTAACTGTTGTAAATAAAATCATGCCAATAGTTAGTGTATTGAACTTTGATAGCAACTATTCCGAATGATAAGCACTTCAACAGTTACTGTTTCATAATGATGAGCACTATTCACAATGAATATTTACTATTGAGTCTGAATAATAATTAATACGAGTTCAGCAGTTTTTTTTCTATAAAGGTGGAAATGCCGAAAATATCTATATCAAAAGTTTTAGATCAATCAATGTGTCAATATATTTTACAGTGAAACGAGAAATTAAGTTCCGAATGTAGATTGCATAGTCCCAGTTGTTCAGCGCTTCCAGTTGGAAGTTCCACATAATTAAAATTAAAGTTTGTTTAACAATGACTATACTCGTATAAAAAGGATTTTATTAATCATAGGACTACTCAAAGTGTGTACTCAAATATACTCAATATAAAAATCTCATGAAGTGCACCCCTTAAGACTGATCCATGATGTCAATTATTGTGTTAACGTTAAAAACAAAAATAGAAGTTGAGAGTCTATACAGGTCTATCATAGACTATATTTCCATCGTACATAATTTAAGTAGGATTAACCAATGATTTGCAACATTTGAGAAGATTATTCGCGTATTCTTATCAATTATTGCACCTAATTAGTTAATCTTACTTCAATCCTGCACGGTGGAAACGTAGTCTTAGACTCTGTGCAGATCAGAATGCAAATAAGTAATTACTTATGTAGCTAATTCTCGCCCTTTGTCTGTGACTTCTTGACAATATAGACGCTATTATTATCATTATTATTATCTGTATAGATGTAACTATTGTTAATCTTTGGATTAATCATCTTGCATTCAATTATTTGATATTGATACAGATAGTCTCTGAATTGATAAGAATTTAAAGAATCGGTTCTAATTAATGTTATAAAGAAGATTTACCTGCTCTGTTTTAGGTAAAGCTGTTGTGGTATTTGTGAAATTGGCACTAGAAGGTACTATGATGTTTATTATCCGTGGCGTCAGTGATACTGAAAAATATATTCATTTGTGATATTCAACATGTTATTTATAGAATTCGCACGACAATGTCATTTCTAGATGGATAAGATAAGATTTCTTATTCTACTACTTAATCGCAAAAATATTGCTAGCAAACTTACCAGTAAGTCGATTAGGGCATTTGAGGTCAGAAGTTGGGGAGGACAAATCATGCGGACAAACACATTTGGAAGTGTTATTTTCGAAACTGCGGCAGGCGGCTTCCTTGCCACATATGTTAGGTCTATCACTGCAACCTCGTATTTCCGTTTCGGTAACGGTGGATTGTAATCTTGTTGCAATCTCTGACATGCGTTTTTCTTCTTCTGTTATGGTCCACTCTGTAATTTTAGTTCGTTTTTTATTTTATTATTGTCTTTACATATGATGTATTAACTGTATAGTGCCGGACATTAATGCCTATGTAAGCTAGAGTAAGAGTTTACCCCCACTATACACCGACCGCTGTATCTATTCTCCTACTTTGCCTTTCACGAGTCTCGCAAAACTTCGATGCTTGTCAACGATAACCATAATACGATATTCATATATCGCTACAAAAATTAGTATGAATCGAAACTATAAATATTTGAATGATTAGTACAAGTGACTGAAAATGTCCAAAAGATGATTATTAATTTTATAACAAAATACGTTGGCGCTGAAAAATTTCGATTTATTTCAACAGTCTGCTATCTTCGATGCTCCTTGAAGCATCCCTTAGTAATGTGTTAGTAAGTTAGTGAAAACCTTAACTCTCTTTATTTTTCTTCCGCGTTCTCTTATTCTCTTACCTAAGGGATGAGCTAATCTTCTGCTCTCAAGCCAAATTCTTTAAGCATCACGTTACCTATATTTAGTGAAACTCATCAATTAATTCCAAATTGAAATTCGTTTACTAACTCTGAAGGTAAACTGTTTGCGAATATATTAAAGATTGAAAGAGGGCATACTGTTGAAACGTGGGAAGCAGAACCAAATATGCAGAGCAGTCTGAAAACGGTGAGATACTGGATGAATAAATACCAAGAGTTTGGTGAAGCAGGTCTTGTAGACCACAGAAAAAATAATGGTAGACCTCGAGAAACAACACAGGTGCAAGTGATTCAAATGGTTGTTGTGATGTATGAAGATCATTTTCAACCAGCGTGTGCTGTTTGTAATACTCTAGAATTGATGCTTTCTGAAAGACCAGTCCAGAGGCATCTGAATTAGCAAGATGTGCATTGCTACCGACCTGCATGCAAAATTGATCTTAAGCTAGGTCATTACGGCCAACGGATCGGTTTTGCTCTTCAGAAACCAGCAACTTCCAGAGAAGGTTGGGTGATCACCATCTGGACGGATGAAAAAGTTGTTAGCTCTACACAGGATCATCGTCTCCTTGTGTGGCGACCTCAAGATTGCAGGCTTGACCGTAGGTATGTTATTCCGAATAGCCGTCGCAGACGGATCACCTGTGGACTTTGAGGTTGGATGAATCCAGTTTACGGGTCCGCGGGGAGGGCGCCGGAGAGGAGAATTGTTTTGATTTTTGAAAGAGGAGTGTGTCGCGGGGAGTCCGTGTGTAAGGACGCGGGTGTCCGGCGGACCGCGAGAAAATGAGTCCTTCCGTGCTCGGGCGATAGCGGATCTATTGGATAATCGCGGATTGCGATTATCGTGATTTCTCGCAGAGAACCATGGCTCCCGGTTTTTTTTTTTTACAGTATAGTGCCAGTGCGTGACCAAGTGTGAGAAAGTCCGAGTGTTTGGTGGACGCCCTCGTGGAGCCGGGATGCGGCACCATAGAGATAGGCGGAAGAGACACGACCACCACTATTTGGATTATGTTTTAAGGGACTGATGGGACAGCCAGTTCTCGGTAAGTACCGCGAGAGCGGTTTTATTTAGGGAATATCCCGAGCGAGAAGATAACCGAGCGGAAGTGATGAGGACACACGGATGTCTCAGGTGGCTACCGACGTCAGGAGGCACACTTCCGAGGAAGAAAAAGCTCGTCTCCAGCGAGACCTGTTAAGATCGCGAATCGCGCCACGAGGAGATTCGCGGATTCAGTAGGCACGCCGAGATAGGGACAGGTTTTGGGCAAGCTAGACACCATGACTCGGAATAGTTGTGAGCCGCCGTTGGGGAACCCACTGTACGCGGCGAGATTTGTATTGTAAAATCCGCCGTTTATTTAATGGTAATAAACGAAACGGTATTCTACTCGCTGTCTAATCATTTTGCGCGCCTATCCGCTGACTCCAAAATTCTCTCCCGTCGCCCCCATGTTCCCCTCTACCATTTTCAGTGCGCTGAGGCTGAGCCGCCGGAAAATGTAAAAAACTGTCGTGGTAAGGGATAGTGGTGCGGGGAAGCCGCACCTGGCGCCCAACAATTAGATTTTCGGATCTTTTCAGTAGTATAAGTATGGGGGTTCTGGATACAGATTCCTGCACCGACATAATACCAACACTTCAAAGCCTTCGAAGGTAGGTGTCCGTGCTAAGTTACCGTCGTGAGCTCTACGGTTTCTGGAAGTGACGTCATCAGGACCCCTCGATTCCAAGAATTTTCGCTCGATTCCGGGAATTTTGCGACACATTCCGGGAATTTTGCGCTCGATTCTAGGAATTACGCACGATCGAGAACCTTCTAGAACATTCTGGAAGCTTCGACGGTTCGTGTCCGTGCTAAGTCGGGAAGGATCGCTCCCAGAGCCCCTTGCCCCCCACTCCGAAAAGCCTTCCAGAAGCTTCGACGGACCCGTGCACGTTCGTGCAGGTTTCGGACGCCAGCCCTCAGCCCGTTTGACCACGAACGTTATCTCGCAGAATCTCGCAGCATCGCTGATGCAGTCCTGTAGGAATTTTCCAGAACTTTTCTCCCTAACTTCATCACGCAGACTACTGCATAGCGTCGGGGAATCAGAGAGAGAGAGACGAACGGCATCCCCTTTGAGCGCAGTGCCGAAAAGCGATTTCGGCGACTTTTGCGAAGAGGTTGATTCCAGGAAAAACGATATCCTTCCCATGCAGGTGTCGGACGGCAGGTGACTCGACCTAGAACGTTATCTCGCAGTGGTCGCGCGTCAGCCTCCTCATCCCACTGAGAGGCTTCGAGAATCCCCCATCCCCCGATTCGTCAACCTCCTCATCTCACTGAGAAGCTTCGCGAATTCCCCATCCCCCAGCCTCGTGCGAGAGCACCGGCGAGTTCAAAGTTATTCTAGAATTGTCTATGTATCGGTTGTTCTAATGCGCAATACCGAACGTTATCTCGCAGAGTTGTGCGTCGAGAATGCGGTCCCTCATCCCCCCGAGGTGTCAAATTACTCTTAAGCGCGCGCGCGACGCAACTTCGTCGTCGGAGGAGGGCTAAGGAATATTCCGGAAGATGCGTGAACCTTGACATCGATTCCAGGAATCTCTGTAGACGATTCGATTCCTAGAAATCTGCGAAACCTCCCATCCCCATTTTAGCCCTTGAGAGTTTCCTAAGAACTGTCTCAAAAAATCTGAGGTATAGGCTTCCAACGACAAGAATAATTCACCATACAGGTTCATTCAAAATTTTATTGATTACAGCAGTGTGTATTTGAGCGAATAAGGCTGACTTGTTATCTGGTTGCTCGACTTTCTCTTTCAGATCCTTCTGTTCGACCTTGATTCGAGGTTGTATTGCTAGAAGAGTCTCCCGCGGCGTTATTACGATTTGGTCGTGCAGAATTTTTATTCATTCCGAATAATGTGTTGTTATCGAAAGTGATACGATCGCGTCTTTCAGGTAAATCCGCGCTCCGTACCCCTTCGTGGTACCGATCTCTTCGAAACTGTTCTCTCACATTCATGGCTCGTTCTCGTTCTCCTTCTCTCCCATGCGAATGCCCGATTTTTAGGTTAAGTTTCACAGATGCTGCCTCAAAGGATTTTCGTTGGAAACTAATTTTATGATGTAGTTGCGTCATTACTTGTAACTGAATATTCTAGAAAATGCGTTTTCGATTTCGCAATTCGGGTAGGTGTCTTATCGCTCGAACCGATGCAAAACAATTCCAGGAAATCCTTGAAACCTTCGTATAAAAGGCCCTTCGATGATGCACAGCGATCATTGTTTGTTAAACCTTCAAGTGCATTATTGGTATTTACGAGATGGATTCTATAAAGTGTAAAAAGTTGATCGAGATTATGGAAGGAGCGTATAAACTTCTGAAGAAGGGTTCATCGACGGCAGAAATTGAAAAATGGACAAAATTTGGAACTCAAAATATCAGACTTTTGAACAAAATTCTGAGAAACGTTACTCTTACGATCGGAGAGAAAACTAAAATTTTAACAACGATCGGAATCCTGAAATCTCTGAACGAAAAATTAAAACAACTTCGAAAAAGAGGTGGAGGAACGGTGAGGGAGAGAAGAAGTG